ACTAAGTCTCATTGCCGCCTGGATAAGGTGGTTAGCATGACACCATGGTGCTTATCAGTCTGACTCCAGCCTAGCTTTTCACCTTCATGCCCGACTGCTCCTCAGACCCCCTCCCTCAGTGTGCTGTGGGTTCTTTTTAGCTGCTGCTGCAGTGCACGCAGGAGCTGTGCCATCTTACATTCCCACGAGCGGTGTATAAGGGCATCTGTTTCTCCACAGCCTTGCCAGCAGCATATGCTCTTACATTTATGAATTTTTGCCAATCTCATAGGTGAGAAATATCACCTCAGTATAATTTTTTGCATTTCTCTTGGGTTGAGTAAGGTGCATTTCAGGTGAGCGAAAGTAGCATGCTGCTTGTCTTTATTTATGCTATTAACTCTCACTGAAATGCCAATAACCCCTGACCTCATATTTCAAATCCCAGCTAAAATATCCCCTCTTCTTTGATTCTCTGACTTGTTCATATAGGATTGGTATTTCCCTCTTCCGCAGTCCCATGGCATGTGACATCCAGCTCACTTATGCCATGGAGAGATGCTCCTTGGTCTCCTTCAACTTTGTATCCCTGTGACAACTGTGTCTGGAAAATGATCACTTCTTACTAGGTATTTGTTGGATTAATCAAATAATAATTTAAAATCAAATAGGCATGAGAAAGTGTCTTTAGCTTGAATTCTCATTGAAAGTACATGGATATACTTGTAACCTTGTTGTTTTCGATATTATTCCATGATTTTCTCAAGTGAAACAATCTTTGCAATGAGGAAAATGAAGTATTTCAGAATTTTTGAAGAGTTTTTCCAGTCTTCTATCTGTAATAAATAAAAATACCTCTAATAAAAAGCACAGCAATATTATATTGTTGTGTCATTACAAAGTACTTTAATTTTCAAAGTCCAAAATACATCTGTGATATGAACAAATTCAGTGTTTGATAATCAAAAGGCAGACCCATAACACTAATCCTATAATCAGTTAATGTACGTTTGCCCTTGTCAGGTAAAATATTTCTGTAACTCGACACTAAAGTTTGTATAAAAACATTTTAATCTGAAGGTTTTTAAAAATGTTGTTTTCAAGTCTGTTAACTAAATGTCATACATTGTTTAACCGATTACCAGGAAGTGATAGGGTAATGGTTAAGAAATATTTGTCTGTTGCCCATAAGGAATAGGAGCTTTTAATGGAAATAATGAGATTGGAAATTGTAGCTATGATGATCTAACGCTAAATTATTTTACTTGTTTTCTCATGTTATTTTAGTGATACTGGGTTTCTTATTTTTAAGAGATGATTCCTCCCCACTTTTAACAGGAAGGATATAGCCAAGGATCTGAAGGGAGGGAAGTGAGAATGGCATCTTGGGTAATAAATGTCAGTATTGAGGATTAGAATGATAAAGGGCAGGTTGGTCGGTGACAAACAGAAACACTCTTTTCTAAGAAAAAATATGAGCGTACATACAGAGACAAAAACAGCCTCAGTGTTTAATTGAAGGCATAAACAAATGATGGCTTTTTTGCTAGTGGATCAGGCAGCTGTTAAAATGATTAGAAATAAAGACCTTGTAGCAAAACAATAAAATATTTAATAAAATGTTTAAGTGAAAAAACATTATATATTTTTATCTACCTTTTGCACATAATTACATAGAAACATACATTTGGAGAGAAATACAAAAAAAAATGAGAGAATGGTGAGAAAATACAGAAATGTGGGAATTTGTATTATTTGCAATTTAATTATAGTTTTTGTTATAAATATTATTGTGCTATAAAGACTATGTTCAACTGCAAAGCAAAAATAAAACAAAAAAAAGAAAAAAGGGAGAAAAAAGAGCAGACCTTTCTTTCACAGGTATATAGTAAGGCACAGAATGTCTGAGCTGGCAGTCTATCCCAGCAGTTCTCTGACTCGTTGGTCTCAGGACCTCGTTACAATAAGAAGTATTGAGGACCCCAAAGAGCTTTTCTTTTTGTTTCAATATTTCCATATTAGAAATTAAAATTGATACATTAAAAATTACTTTTAAATCATTAAAAATAATGATAAACCTAGTACATGTTAACATGATATATTTTAATGAAAAAATAACTATTATAAAACAAAAAAAATTTAATGAGAATGCCATTGTTTTATATTTTTGCAAATCTCTAAGATTTGGCTCAGTCGAAGACAGCTGGATTCTTGTATCTGCTTATCCATTCAATCTATTGTGATACATTGTTTTGGTTAAAATATAGAAAGAAAATCTGGCCTCACACAGCTGTGTAGTTGGAAAAGAGAGGGGTATTTTAAGAACTTTTTCAGATTGTTGTGGATATGCCATGTTGCCTCTGAAACACCCCACTGTATACTCATGAGGAAATGAGATTGAGAAAGGCAATCGTGTCTTCATATTATTATGAAAATAGTTTTGGCTTCATAGATTCCTTAAAAAATGTTTAGGGATCATCCAGGCGGCCTCTGAGTGCATTTCAAGAACCGTTGCTCTAGCCCTTGAGAGATGAGAAAATTAAAACCAGAACATTAAGTGGTTTTTCGCAAAACGCATTGTTGGTGGAATACAGGACACTGGGACACGTTCTGGTTTCATTCCTCGTGCTTTTGGAGGACTTGAAATTATAGTATGACCATAGGAGAACTTCTGGAAACTGATCTTTAGCATATTTATGAGGGTCTTCTGAGATATCAAATATAATTGTACCTTTCCATCTTGAATATTAAAAAAACCTCTGTGATAGGTGAATCAAACTTTAGAGAAAGTAGCATTAGGATTATAAGTGGATTAGTAATAATGTAATTTTTAACATATAGAAGATATAGAAATATTAAATTTATAATAAATGCTATGATACATTTAATTTTTGTTTACTACCTCTTACTATCTAAAAACCTTCATAGCATCTTTTTTTATCAGTAATTCAAAGTAAACACTTTTAATTTCATTTTGATTTGTCGTAGTTATTTACCGTATCTGTAATAAGAAGCATTTTCCGTGTCTGGACTTCATTCAGCAGTTTGGCAACCTGCTGGTTTTGTTTTGAATGTTGTTCACTCATTCCTCCCAGATCCCACTGAGGTCAGAAACGTTAGTGACTTGGATGCCTGAGGTGGAAAACACTTTGGGAAAACTTGAACCTGTTTGAATAGGCATTTCTCAAGCCTCCCCACCAGTGCACAGCTGTAGAGAGAGGGCCTCCTCCGGTTGATGACTTCATACCTACTTCAGAATCTCTCCCGCCTGCAGTCTCTGAGACTTTCCTTCATATTTCTCCATCTTTTTCAGGTTTTTATTGCAAAAACCTCTCTTTTGCTCTGCCATCTCGTTTACTTTGCCCTACTTACCAGTTTCTTCCTTTAAAGATTATTCTCAATGAGATTGACTTCCCATTTATTTACTGGAATCAGGAGTCTCACAGTTGCCGTGAAGGTACTCAGAAGGTAGTCTGCGTAGTCTCGTGTTTGCATGACGCGACCGTTGCTGGAAGGTTTCGTGGTGGATCAGGTGAAGATCCGGAAGGCCGCTGATCTCCTGAGGAGTCGGCACACGGCCTGCACCCCTTGCTTCCTGTTTGTGTTGATTACATTAGTGGTAAAAAATCAAGGTCATTTTGTAATCAATTGGCAAAACCTTTAGGTCAGCTGTAACCAACTCTGTCTTTTTTCATCCTTTTTTTTTCTTTTCTGAAGTAAAGAATTTAAAAACTTTACGGGGAAACAGCACGTTTTTAAATACCCTGTTTTTCACTTCAAGTAGAGTGGTGAGACTGAGAACCACAGTTATTTGGGAAAGAATAAGGTGAAATTCTGGGCGCCTTTTGGTTCCGCCCTAGCCCCAGGCCTCAGTACCTCCCCCACCACACACCCCACTTTGTGTGGGGGACCAGGGCTTGGAAAAGGCCGCTCACTGCCCTGTCCATCTCCCTTCTCCTGTGTTTTCTCTTTCGTCTTTGCTCTTCTTTTGGAATTAACTTTGAAGTGGGGGACTAAGTGTCCAGGTTTCGGTCACATCGAGCCGTATGGTACTGCCTGAGCCTCTTTCCTTTCCTTTTGGAGCTGGAAAGGTGTTTTGTGGGTTAGAGGAAATAAAAGGAAAATTCATTAATTTGAAATATTGTTGGGAATTTGTCTACATTTATATGACTGTTTTTTCTAGACTTTTCTAATTTTCCGTGTTCACGTGGGATGTAATTTTATCAGTGTTTCCCATTCGGTAGAAGCTTCCTATATATTTGTTTAAAAGAGGGAAATAAAGATAGAACAGAAACTTACAATCCAGGCAGGAAGATGGGATAATGGAGGGAGGACTGTGATGGGCATTTGGATATTTAGGTTCCAATCTCATCCTTACTATAACTACATCTGTGACTTAGTTAAGTCACTTCACTACTCTGAGCTTCCGTTTTCTGTTAATGAGAAAGTTGTTAAATGATGTCGAAGAGGGTTTGCCCCTTACTTTAGTGTTTGTTCAACGATTACTTATAAAATGCCTACTGTATGCTGACACTGTCATGAATGCTGGAAATAATGGTAGACAGCCAGATGGCTGTAGTTCTTGTTCTCATTGATGTTGCTTTTAAATCAGGGGTGGGATGGGCACTTCCCCACTGGATGACAGGAACAGTAATTTGAAGGACAGCTGATTTCTAGTCCCACCCATGTCTGATTTGGACAAGACCCTTCATTACAAGTCATTTAAATGGCTTTGTTCCTTTATTTTCTCATCTGTAAAATGAAGAGAATAACACCTAACCTATTTACCTTATACAGTCATGTTAGCCTCAAATAAAATAATGTATGTGGAAATGCGTTTGATGGTAGTAGTAGTGTGTGGTGTAGTGTGTGGCAGCGTCTGTAGTCATGTAAAATATTTTGTGTGAAATTCCACATGCAATTTATTATAACTTGGTTGGAAGAGTCCTAAGTTAACTTCATCTTGGAGTTCAGAGATACTTGAAAAATATAAAGTGTATTTGTTTTTGTTCTCTTTACAGAAAAAGATAATGCTAAATATGTTTTTAGACACAATGATGGCCGACCCTCCTCCCCAGTGCCTTGTCTGGCTCCCTCTCATGCACAGGCTTGCCCATGTCGAGAATGGTAAGCAGCACTTGTGTCATTCAGTTCTTTATGCTGTAGGAAGTGTATGAACTGATAGTATTTGTCATGTCCTTAGCTATTACCATTGACAATTACAATTGACATTTGTTGGACACTCTGTCATTTGAATTTGTGATTTTAGCTTTCAAAAGAGGACTGTTTTGTTCTCAGAAGAAGAGGTGGTGGCGGGCTTTTGACTTAGGTAGGATACCAAGTAGTAGTAATATCAGGTCATAACACTTTGTGGTTCAAACTCTAGGTCCCCCCCACCCCGAGATTCCAGGCGGTGGTTTTTGGCTTCAGCCACCTCACTTAATCATAGCTTCCTTTTTCCCTTTAATTTATAAAAATCATAGATTTAAAAACTTGAACATATGCGATACCAACCACTAAAACTATAATTATTTTGGAATTGTTGAAAGGAAAATAGCTAAAATAGAATTTATTACTGGGTTTCATGCATCCAGTTTTTTCTTTCATTATTTTGCCTTGAGTTACTCCCAGTATCCCTTCCAGTAATTTCACTTAAGCCTTCATTTCACTTGCCGTTGAAATGGAACTTATCTCTTCGTCACGTCTTCATTTTCTTTCTGCTGTTGCTATTAGTTTATCTTCTTGTTTAGGGTGTTTGAATTTATTTAGAGGAAAGGTCATGGCTTTTCTATGTCACCTCCCTTCTTTCGAGGCTCTTGTCTGTCTCTCCTCATTCCACAGAAGAGGGCAGTAGTAGCTTTATTGAATTGTATACTCGAAACCTATTTGATTTTATTTGTCACTCCAATAATTTTAATTTTAAAAAAAGCAGTCCTATTTTTCCCTTTGTAAGAATGAAATATACTCCCATACTCTTTATTTTCTCCCCTTCCTATTCATTCTTTTTTTTTTTTTTTTTTTAACTTCTCAGCCTTTTGCCCAGCTATGGCTTTAGTTCACAAGTACCTTAGAATCAAGATTATTTTCTTAAAGGTTCTGAATTTCTTGACTAGACCAAAACAGCTAAACCTTTGAACAGGATATTTGGACAGAGAATTATATTGTTAAATTATTATAGTATTGTTAGTTCTAATGGGAGCAATACTTTTATGGCCTTAAATGTTTTAGTAGTTTCATATCCAGTTCATTTTCATAAAATCATTTTGTATCTGCTTTACCAAGTAGAGAAAATCGCCTTTGTCAGCATGTATTGTTGTCCATATAAACATTTTCACGACTTCGTATGTGGCGTATTATTTATTGCATTCTTACATAGTGATATCATTTTTCTCAGAGACAGAAATATTCTGAAATCATTGAGTTATCTAGAATTAAAACATGTTATGTATCACATGAACATCTATCTATATATCTTAATTTTTATGGCAGGAAACATTCTAAAATTATGGTATTTCTAGTTTTTTTGTTGTTGGGGCTCTTTCTATGAAATTCATCACTTGAATCGTATTGATATTACTATTTTAAGGGCAGATATTTATTTGCATAAGCAAAAGTTGCATTTTTTATACTGGTTTACTAATCCAAATGTATGGTATATCAGTAGATAACTACATTATGAACTCTTCCAAAAAAATGCTTTTACCAAAACCTGATCTTATTTATAATGGACCCAGCACACATGTTGATCCTTTTCTCTTTCTGGTTCTCTGTGTTTCCCACAAGCCACAGATTCCACTGACTAATGTAAGCAGTGGCTCTTTGCTGGTTTAGAAGAGAAGAAAAATCACATTGACATACATGTTCAACTAGAATTATCAGAATCTATTTAAATATTTAACATTAATGAACATATATCATTTACTATTAACCCAGGATTATTATATGGAATTATAATTAGTGGCTGCACCGCTGTCGACTGCATTGTTAACTCAGATTGATTTGGGAATATTTCTTTGTCATAACTCTGCTAGGTTGTATAGCTTTAATCTGGAGCAGACTCCTTTTTTAGCACATACATGATTCCTTAGAAACTTTTTGATGACAAAAGCTTGAATTTCTTAGAGGAAGTATTTCCTTTCAATTTCTCGTTCTTGTTTTACCGTTTTTTAGTCTTTTAGTGATCTCGTTATATTGTTTTCCTCACCTAATGCTCACCGTTATAGTCTTGATTTCCTAGTCGACACACATTTTTGGAAGCAGGACTAAAAATCTCTCTAATTGATGTAAGATCGGCTTTGCACACATAATGCTAGAAAGAGTCCTTCAGATGAAGATTGGAATACTATATCCATCTTTCCTCTCAACTTCCGTTTCTTGTGTTCAGAATTAAATTGCCAGAGGAGACAACTACCTACCAACATTTGAAAGTATAAATAAAAATCTATAATACACAGTTGTGTGTTACCCTCTTCCCACTCAGTGAACTAGACTCTCAGGCTGTTAAGAGAATTTTGCTAGTCTCTGTGACTCCTGACCGCCACGTGCCACTTTTCCACAGGGAAGAGGCCATGTGAGGTGGAGCGGCAGGTCACTGAACTTCCCTTCCTCCAAATCATTGTCTCTTCGTTGGTCTGGATTACTTTATTTTACGCCGTTACTAGAGTTCTTACCTAAAACTATTTTACTATGTATAACCTTACTTTTTACTAGTTACTATTTACGCCTAAGTATGTGGTAGGATTTAATTCAGCAAACATTTGCAGGCCTTCAGCACAAGGTCACGTGTAAGGTCATTTGCAGGTAACGAGGATACGTACTACATCGTCCTGACTCTCCTAGGTTTTATGTTAGTCAAGAAAACATACGTACAACTAACAGGGATACATCTCTTTAAAAAATGTCTAGGTTTGGAATTTTGAGTGCGGAAATCTTGGAGTGAAGGCTTCTCTCTCCTCCTTACTCGTATACCTAAATTTTGAGAAACATGAGTTTCATTGGAAAGAAATTGGCTGTTTTCTAAGGTGGATTGGAATGTAGGATTCTAAGTTGGAAATATTTTTTTCTAATTTTTTGCTTCAATTAACCAAATAAGAGACAGTTTGGAATCTTCAGTTCTCAGTTTGTTTTCACCTTTGCTTTTTAACATTACGTTTGGTTTTCCACTGCATTGACTTTCTTCGCAAATGAAAATTAGTTCTTTCTCCTTGCTGTCCCACCCTTTCTCCCCTGCCATTCACTCTGCGCTGTTTTCTCTCCCTCCCATAAGTTTTCCATCCCGTGGAGTGCTCCTACTGCCGGTGCGAGAGTATGATGGGTTTCCGGTACCGATGCCAGCAGTGCCACAACTACCAGCTCTGCCAAAATTGCTTTTGGCGTGGCCATGCCAGTGGCCCTCACAGCAACCAACACCAGATGAAGGAGCATTCCTCTTGGGTAACTGCTTTGTGTTTCAGTCTGTGTCCCCAGCTGTTAATCTGTTTCATCAGTAACAGCACTGTAGGCTTGCTTCCGGATGGAGGCCTACAAATAAGGATGTGGTGTAATAAAATCTTAATACCGGGTTTGCAAACATGTTAGGCCTCATCGCTTGATTTTAAAAGCAGAATTTTAAAAGTTCCAGAAATGGAGACATTATTACACTTGAAATGGTCCCTGTTATGCAGTGAAATGGAATGTTACAATGCTCCCTTTCCAGAGTGAAAAGTGGGTTTCTTCTTATTTTAAAATTGTGCAAGGTATCCCTCTAAATGCTTACTCGCTGAGCTTTAAGTAAGATTTAAAGTTCTTTTTTTCAAGGAAATTTTCTTCATGTTTATAGGCTTTAAATGTTGCAAAGGAAGCTGCATGAAATAAAAGTTAAATTTTTGCCTCTCCAAGGTTGGGGAAATACTGTATTTTACAATTGCCACATTGGTGTTCTTACTTTCAGACGTGTCTGATTTTTGTGTGGTGTTTATAATTATGTAACAAGCTTAACGTAAGCCCATTTTTCTTTTGTTCTTTCATTTTATTTCCAGAGTTTTTTTAAATGCCATACTTTTATTTTCAAAAAGTTGATATATCCTTGTTTTAAAATCTTTTCTTCTAGTTTCGTTTGTTGGTTGGTTGGTTTGCTAACGGGTAGAAAAATATATAGGGTTATAAGTATAATTCAGGATCTGGGTTCTTAAGCCTGGTCTACTGGACTGTAAGTATTAGAAAACTTTAATGACCAGGTTTTTGTTTGTTTGTTTTCTACTTAGCCTTAAAATTGAACAAAGAAAAAAGCAAATAAGTTCATATCAGTAATTAGTATTTTAAAAAAAGAACAAACTTCAACCCAAGTGTACACTTTACTTCCTACACCTCTGACAATGTGTTAGAGATAATTTATTTTTAACTAGATAGATTTTCAGTTACAGTTAACCATAAGACCCTATCTTGGGTCTTGTTGTGTTGTAAATTCCAATATGTTTTGGTTGAGGAGTTATTTAAAAATGTTTAAACAAGCAAAGGAGAAAAATGAAACCCAACAGTTTCTTCTTTTTTTCACTGGATAGAGAGACTTTATAGATTTTTCAATTGTTATTTTTCTCTTTCCTAAAGTACAAGTATCCCACTGTGTTCCTTGATTTGTTAATATTTTTTGTTTACAGTCTAGCTCTTTGCTTTATAATCTTCTGTAATGATTGAATTTCCTGGGATGTTTCTTATGTATGTATGTATGTGTATATGTATTTATTTATTTATTGGTGACATTAGTTAACGGAATCCAGTAAGTTTCAGCTGTACACTTTAACAGTAAAGCATATATATATTTACACTGTGTGTTCACCTCCCATAGTTAGATTTCTTTCTGTCACCACATATTTGACCCCTCCTTCCAGGATATTTCTACTGAAAATTCTTATTCTAGGTGTTGGGGCCAGGAGAATAAGGAACTTCTTGTTCACCTTTGTTTGAAATTACTCATTTAGCTCATTTATAACCCTTTTAGGAATGGGATTTTACATTTATTTAAAGATAAGTAACTTTGAATATTGCTTTATGGTTTACAAAGCAATTTTTCATATACCATGTTGAATTTTTTCATTGAGCTATAACACAGAGTACATAAATCAAAAGTGAATTCTTGTATTTCTACTTGATTCTTACAACACTCTTGTGAAGAAGTCATCCCCATTTGTTGTTATTTTTATTTCAGCTTTGTTATTTTTTCAATTTTATTAATTCATTTTTGTTACAATGACTTAAGATTTTAAGAAGAAGCAAGTATTATCAGCATGCATAATTTTGAAGCTGGTATCATCAATATATTAGTTCTGAATTTTGATGGGCATATGCATTATATGGTAGATGCATACTGGTAAGGTCTTCTAGCTGTGTGTGTGTGTGTGTCTGTGTGTGTGTGTCTGTGTGTGTGTAACTTGTTTTCAAGATTAAGACTGTATGTTCAATGCTCTTGCTCTTTGAGAAAGATGTGGATAAAGAAGTTTCCACCTAACAAAAAGATGGGTGATCAATTTAATAATAAGTTCTTTGAAGATTGTTCACTGTGTTTGTGCTAATATTTTGAATAAATGTTTTTCTGTGTTCACAGTAGGTAAATTTAGTGTGCATTTAACCAGCTCATATATGAATTTGCATTGTAGATTTATTACGTGTAGTATTGGTGCTTAGAAGTTTATTTCAGTTTTTCCAAAAGTTTTTGTTTAATATTTTATCTAAGTAACTATGCAGCCTGGTTCATTATTCTTTTAGTCATCAATCCATTCATTTGCCTTTTGTATAGAAAAAAAATCTAGGTTAGAGTGTGAGTTGAGTGTTATTGATAAGGTATCGCAAGAAAGAAATGTGCTTATGAAGGAATTTGCTAGTTGTCAAGCAAAAAAAATGAAAGGAAACAGAGAAAATTCTGACCCATGAGACAGTGAAAGGAAAAACAGACTGCTTCTAGACCCCAGTGAGCAAGCAATGAGTTGAGGCAGGGTTTGAGCGACAAAGGCCTAGCAAACTTTCTCGGTTGAAAACAGTGGCTTAGTCCTGTGGCAAAGACCAGATTAAGGGTATAGCTTTTTGTTCTTGGCGGCTCATCAAAATCACCTTTGTCCCACCTATGTAGCTTCCGATTTCATGGATTCAGGGGACATGAAACCTGGACACAGACAGGTTTTGAAAGCTCCCCCAGTGGTTCTGTCGTGTAGTCAAAGTCGGAAACTACTGGCCTGTTGTTTCACGGGGCCTCCAGTTGGCTTCTGTAAGTTGAAAGCAAGAGGCATGGAGGGAAAGACATACATCAACCAGGCTTGAGGATTATCTCTAGGAAAGAACTTTGTGTGTCATTACTGGCACATGGAACTGACTGGGAACAAATATATCGAAGCCTACTGAGTTTTGGGGGGAATTATGTTGGCAAGAACCACGAGCCTGGACTGAACGAGCCATTGACAGCTTGAGCTGACGACCCACTTTTTAAAGACCCGGAACTTGCTCTGGTAGGAGATGGGTTGTATAGGAGGGCATGCTAGAGCCTACTTGGCCAAGATATTGGATAAGGAAGACCCTCTGTTCCTACTCTACCATTTTATATTGAGACTAGGGAGGGAGGGTGCAGATAATTTGCCTTTTTAGTTCATAGATTGCATTATAAGGAGCTACATGTGGTCTTGATGAAGAAGACTGTGCCATACCCAGGACTCGTAATTAGGTGCACCGACTGAATAGGACTTCAGGTTTTCTTTCGGGGATGGGGGTAGGAGGGGTTTGAGAGTGTTTTATATTTAGGGAAAGGAAGCAAAAAGATATTTAACGATTAGGAGTACTCACTAATATCTAAATTTTCCTTTTCCTCTTGGGCATGTATAACGAGATTATGTAGCCCATCCTCCTTGCTGCCAGATGGAGCCATATGATTAGTTATCACCAATGGAATTTGTTTGGAAGTGAGCTGTGTTACTTCTGGGTCAAGGCCGTTGAAACAGATGTGCTTTCTTCACTTGCTCTGTCTTAACCCTTCTCACTGCCCCTATACGTTGGCCAAATGGAAATGTCTCCAAAGAAACGAGCAAAGGCAGAAGCCCTTAGACGAAAGGAGGCTGGGCACCTGCACAGATGGCCCAGAGCCCCTCCACCTGCCAGTCTGCATCGGACTCTCACGTGTGCAAGAAATCAGAAAGCAGAGTCAGCAGTAGGGCTGGGCAGTCAGATAGGCAAAGTCTCAGATAGCTGCCAGCAGACATCCGAAGAGCTGAGCATTAAGGCCCCAGGGCAGGAGTGTGCCTTTGAGTTCCGGGAACAGCAAAGAAGCCAGAATGCCGTGAGCAGCGGGAAGACTGTAGGTGAGGAGATCAAAGACTCACTGAGGGCCTGTTGGCCATTTGGCGTTCGCTCTGAATGACATGAGGCGTCTTCAGAGGATTTCGAACAGAAGAATATCATGCCTTGATTTATATTTTAAAATGAGCAGTCTGGATGCCATGTAAAGAGTAGACTGGAAGGAAAAGATAGAAGCCGAGCGACTGCTAAGGAGAAATGATTACAATAATTAAAACAAGAAGGGGTAATATTTGTAGAGGTGGTAAAAGGGGTCGAATTAGGACATGTGTTATAAATCGGCCTGACGGGGGGGATGTGGCTTTGGGAGGGGG